CCCATCGCTGGTCGCATATACACTTCACGTCATTCATCGGGCGCTCCGCGTGCGGTAGCACCCTCCATATGCTCCTCCTCGACGACATCCTCATCCACGGGAACGACCTCATCGCGCTCCTCCCTCTCGTCCCGGCGCTTCGCACCCTCAGCATGAACGACCTGCGGCCGAACGGCATCACCGACAAGGTCATTGTCGCGTTCACCCCCACCGACGTCCTTCCCGGGCTCGAGACTCTCATAGTCTCGGGCTCGTACCTGTTCGGCAACGCACTGCTCCTGACCATGCTCGAGGCGCGCGCACCCGCCCTCCGCACGGTCACTCTCCACCTCAAGCATCGGGAGTTTGGGGTAGACGAGGGACACCGGCTGCGCGCATTGAACGGTGGCGGGATGGCGATGTCCGTCAAGTGCTTGAATGCGGAGAAGGAATATTTTACGATGATTTGATTGTCCTCTGTTAGGCTTTCGTGTAATTGATTGGTAAGTTCGTTTGAATATTCGACCTTCGTCCGTCCTCAGATCAAGCAAGCTAGGCCGGCACCAGAGTTGTCAGTAGCTGCTCTCAGAGCTCAATGCCCGCGGTAAGGGACGAACGAGGCTCCAAAGCTTCACGAGCTGATGAACGTATTCGATTGTAACTTGTTGTGGAGTTGGAAAATCCACGACCGTTGAAATTCGTCAGGTACGCCGCCTGGAGTTTACCGCAACGCGAGATCTTAGCTCAAGCAATACTTTCACAGTCGCAGACCACTGTCTGACTTGTCTCAAAGTCGGAAATCGATGAATTATTTGTCACTGTTATGGCACTCCCTAGACGCGTCGCGGGCACGTGATGACATAAAATTCAACTTGTTGAACTCAATCTGAACGGCTTCGGCAGTGACCATCCAGGGAAGCTCTCCTTTGGTTATTTGGATTTCAACCAACAAAAGTAAGAGGCCATCAAGCTATTACCTCCCGTGCGCAGCGGGCACCTCGGGCCACACAAATGGCGAATGACAAGAAACGGGACCGATTGCCTCAACCAGTCCGGCGACGAGGCATGAAACGGCGCGAATCGTACCCGGGGCGTAAGGACGAATGACGATCTTAGGCCCTATCCCGCCCTCCGATGGTTGAAAAGGGCTCGCCAGACGGGAATCAATCTCAGTTTACACTAGAGCGACAACAAAATCCAGAAATGTCGAACCTACCCGCCTTTTCCTTTGCCTCCACCGCCGAGGAGGTTGCGACCGCCCTCGCCGACGAGATCAGGGGCAAGAATAGTGCGTGCCGTTTGCTGCGTCCCCGCCGCCGAACTTACTTGGTTGTTAGTTTTGATAACTGGGACTTCTTTGAATGGCCTTGGGTTCGAGACCGCCCGCGTTAGCGCCAAGTACGCAAATCTCATCGTGATAACCGGGTACAACGACGAAAGGTGCGCTTCCTCGTCTTGGGCTATGGCACAACTCAACATCTTTCTTCATGGACAGACTGAAACTTTCGGAGGCGGCCATCAAGAAAGAGGTCCCTCATGCCAATATTCGACGCCTGGTTCTCAACCTGTCATCGCTCGCTAGCGTGCGCAAAGCTGCCGAGGAGTTCAACACCAGCCCCGAGCCTTTACACGTGCGTTCAACATAGAATCCGTTCAGACAGGGTGTTTACTTTCTGAACAGGTGTTAATTAACAACGCGGCGTCTCCCTACGTGGATTTTGCTCTCACCGAGGACGGGCTGGAGACGCAGTTCGCCACAGACCACGTCGGCCCCTTCCTGTTCACAAAGCTGCTCGCACCGAAACTCCTGGCGGCGAGGACGCCAACGTACACGCCGCGGGTCGTCTTCGTCTCGAGCGTCGGACATTCATTCGGGAAGGGCGTCGATTTCGATGACATCGTGGCGCCCGACGCGGCCAAGTACGACAAGGCAAATGGTTACTTCCAGGCAAAATCCGCCAACGTCCTCGCCGCCATCGAGCTCTCGAAGCGCTCCAAGGGCGCGGTCAACGCGTATAGTCTGCACCCCGGTGGTAATTATCTGCACGTACTTACTTCCCAACGTTCCCTCGGGTCTAACGAAGAGTCCAGTCGTTCGGACAGATGCACTGGTGAAGGAGGACAGCATCCCCGTGTTGAAGGCGTTCGGTGCGTGTTCTGCCCGTTTTCAACTCACTCTGTCTTAATTATCTCGTTCGCTCGGCGCTCTCTAGGTATCTTGCTTCCAGACGGCAGTCCCAACCCTGACCAGCCGTGGAAGACGCTCCACCAGGGCGCTGCGACGTGCGTAGCGATGTGCCTGCTTACCTTCATAGATATCTCACCTCTTCCTCAGTCAAGTCACCGCCGCCTTCGATCCACGCATCAACGGTTAGTCCAACCCAAACACTCTCATTGCTTCGTTAGTTGATCTCATCCAACGACAGACAAACCCGGGGCGTACCTCTCCGACTCAACTGTTGCCAACGAGCAAATTGCGCCTCACTCTTCCGATCCGGTTAGTGTTCGTTCTTCCCTCAATGTTAGGTCGATTGAACCATGATCAAACCAGGCCAACGCGGAGCGGTTGTGGAACATCACTGAGAAGATTATCGGGGAGACGTTTAGCTTTTGACACTGATGATTCAGCAAAAACACGGGCAGGTTCCAATACCTACAGCGATATCTTTTGCCTTGTTGTCCGCCCAGTGGTTGAAAGCATGAATTCTGGGTCGGCGACGTGGCACAGTATTTCAAATATATAGATATCACGCTCTCCTCTTGGGGTCCGGAACAACCGGAAAGTGCTCATAGCACCAGTCTAATTGTTGGTGTATCTCTTCCACCGCGGCCTCGCGCCCACCGACTTCACCGACCTCACTCCGACTATATTTGATCGCATTCCCACGGTTGAAAATTCGCCTTCGCCTTGGAAAACTATTATTTCTGGTTCATTTGCAGCTCGTCTATATCTGACGCAGTCTGAGTAAGTCAATACATGTCGACCGCTGAAATTGCCCGTTACCCAGGGCCAGTTAAACCAATCTGCAGTGGTAATCAATCCTTAAAGCTTCGTTCGACGTTCAGCTGTAACTGCCAGTGTGAATCGGATTCAACGTTCATGATCAACTTAGTCTCCCCACTCCCGCCCCTCATCCGCCGAGCTGCATTTACGTCAAGAGTCTACCTCCCGAATCAGCTGGACCCGGGAGCTGCTTACAGATATGCCGTCGTGCCCTCATCGCACGGCGTCGTCCTGCTGGGAGTGAGTGCGTTTTTCATTTTTCTGTCTAGCTCAGTACATACACTATACACGCAAGCATTCAGGACGCCTGCCGTGCCAGCCTCGGCGTCCAGCCAATAGTGGGCTCCGGTGGGGAGGAAGCAGGAGGTTCAAACCCTCCGGCGGCGTTGTTACGACGATGACGATCTTTTGGCTCGCTGTCTCTGCGCCTTGAAACTGAAGAACTTTTGGAATCATCTCTCCGCGGGAGGACAGTATTTTTGAACGAAGAGTTTTGTTGCAGAGGCTGACTTGCACCTCATCTGACTCCGAAATATAAGTAAGCGGCAAGCCTTCGTGGCCATGGCGGCCGCCTACTTGTGATGTCGTAATAGGATAGGTAAACCGTGGGTGTCGATTCCCCCGGAGGCATGTGAGGGTGAGATTCACCGTTTTTTTGCCAATGAACCTGCTGTGGAAAGCGCCCGTTCCAAGAGATCTAGATTCTAGACAATTAGAGCTTGGCCTTCCTTCAGAAGTGGAAGAACTCGGAGACGAACTGCGACGATCTCCGCAACTCCGAGTCTCCGGCGCGCCTGACAATTCCCATACGATCCCATAGGAATATTTTTTGCCTCACGTTCTCTTGAACGTTGAACTAGGCCCTTCTGAACTCGTCCAGCAGAGGAGGGTATCACTCAACACTACCTGATGTGAACTCCCACCTCACCAGGTTCCGGCTCGGTGTCGTTCAAATACAACCAAGCCTTCGTGGCCATGGCGGCCGCCTACTCGACGATTTGAATCTTTGAAACCTGAACAGGAGGAGCGGAGGTTCGAGTCCTCCCGAAGGCGTGTGCTGACTTTCATGTGTTTTTGGCCATCAAGAACGATCCTAATCCACCTGCTGACAACTTACGAATTTCAGAATCATAATTTCTGAACGGCGACGTTCAAATACTTCCAGACTCCAGAGCACCGGACAAAGGATTTGGCTTTTGGAATAAGCGGAGGATCGCACCTCATCTGGCGACGCATCGTTCAAATACAGCCAAGCCTTCGTCGCCGTGGCGGCCACCCACTCTGTGTGGGGAACTTCCGACCAACTCACTTGAACCGTGGGAGTGGGGGGTTCGATTCCTCCCGAAGGCATGCGCGACCGTTTGGTTTTTTTGTTCGGCCACAGACAAGGATCGTAACGAAAGCGGGGGAAGAGTCAACACAGGGTGGAAGAGACTGCCGCTTCGATATGACCATGATGTAGGCTCGTGACCACCCTGCCTACTACGGCTCAATCAAGCGGCAAGCACTTGGCCGTAGGCAGGCTGGTACAACTCGGGCTCGGCAGCCGTGCTGGGCCGGAGTTTGAATATCTTGGCCCTAGGCAATCACTCCCATCACGGTGGCTAGGCAGCGCGATCAATTCCCCGCCAAATTCAACCATTTTGTAGCGCACAATCTAGGACAGCGAAAAATAATCTGAACAGACAGAAATGCAGTTTAAGGTATGTAGATGACCGATTTTGAGAAATGTCCTAGGAAAATCATCGAATTGAGCAAATGCCAGGCGAGGGGGAATTTTTTCAAACTCCTGCCCAGCACGGTTGTTGATCACGAATTGTACCAGCCTGCCTACGGCACAACGCTTGCGTTGAAGATTTGCCGTAATTGGCAGGCTGGTTACGAGCCTAACCATGATGCACGACCTTCAAATATTCCAGACTCCAATGCACCTAGTGATTACTGAGGAGTTCCAGACCGCTACTCAATCCGGAATGCTAGCTAGCTAGACATGCTTGTATCCTTCAAATCCATCGAAGCTTTCGTGGCCGTGGCAGCCGCCCACCCGATGTGCGAATTCCTTCGATGGCTGAACAGTGGGAGCGGAGGTTCGATTCCTCCCGAAGGCATGAGTACCCTCCCGTCGCTTTTTGGTTGGCTTTTGGCTATGTGAAGAGACAGAACGTTTCAAACATGCCTCGATATACACCCCCAATTTTCCCTTGAGCCTCCGGGACGGAATCTGGTAAGTACTAGTCTTTAGAGGACGACTCAGGATGAGGGTCCGAAAAACTTCCACAGGTGGAAAAACGGACCCGATGAAACTATCAGGGACTCAGCGCCGGATATCGGACTTCTCTTTCGCGTGGAACCCTGGAAGGCTCAGACTACGCGAGGGTCATGAGACCGCGGCGGCGCCGCGGCTGTTGAAGCAGGTTCACGCGTTTCCTTCCTTTCTTGGTTCGTTCCAACATCGCTGAGGGATCTTTGAACGACACCTGGGCTGCTATACATATGGAAACTGCACTGGCTCTGTACTTTATCTCCGCCAGAATTACACGCAATTCGTGAATCGGGAGGACCCCACATCCCCATCCCACCAATGGCATCCGCTTTCCTTGCGTCGTGCGTAAGCCTCGCCTGGTAACAGCCGTACCGTGGACTCGATTACCCATGGGGGTGCGCGCCGACGGCGCCGTCGGAGCCCTCGGTAGCGCGAGATAGCGGGAGAAGAGGAATTAGCGCGCCGTTCAACCTTTTCAACCTCGATCGCGGTTACATCTCTTCCCATTTTCCAGAACTCTCCAACGAATCCCCTCAATCCGCGATATAGCCCCGCCTCGTCCCGTTCCTAGTGGACCAGGCCCCCGCAGGAACTCAACATCACCTCAAGTCGCGTGTGTGTTCGGCCGTGATTGATCGCGACCTCATGACAACCCAGTGAGGTCAGCCGTTCGTCCTTCCAATCCTGAAGTACTTAAGACGCGTCCGAGAAGTAGGTGCGAGAACTTACTTACTCCACCATGCGCCTCACAAACTCCTTCCTCACCCTCGCGCTCGCGCTCTGCCCCAGCGCCTACGCCGCCGGCTTCTCGGGCAAGACGACGCGGATCATGCCTTTGGGTGGTACGTCCCCTACACCTCGCATCCAGGCCGCCGCTGACCGCCCCACTCAGCCTCAATCACCTTCGGCACCGGGAGCACCGACGGCAACGGCTACCGCGCCGACCTCTACAACCTCCTCGCCGCCGACGGCAACACCGTGAACATGGTCGGGTCGCAAAAGGGCGGCACCTTCCTCGACCCGGACAACGAGGGCTACCCGGGCTTCATCATCTCGCAGGTCGACGCCAAGGGCGTCGCCGCCATGCCTGTCCAGCGCCCCAACGTCGTCACCCTCCTCGTCGGCACAAATGATGCGCTCCAGAACGTCGACCCCGCCGGCGCCCCTGCGCGGTTGACGAAGACGATCCAGGACGTGCTGGACGCGCCGCCGTTGACGCTCGTCCTCGTGTCCACCCTCCCGCCAAACGCGAACGCGGCTGCGAACGCGCTGATCAACACCTACAACGCAGCGCTTCCGGCTGTCGTCAAGAACTTCACTGACGCGGGGCGTTCCGTCATCCTCGTCGACTCGCACTCCGTAGTGGCGGTGGGCGATCTGGTAGACGGGACGCACCCGAACGACGCGGCGTATGCGCGCATAGCGGGGGTGTTCTATACCGGGCTGCAGCAGGCGTTTGCGAACGGGTGGATCTTTGACGTAGATGGCGCGCCGCCGCGGCGGTCGGTGGGTGAGCAGTAGAGAGGCTGGCCGAAAGAACGCTGCGTAGCGCATAACTGTACATGTAAGTGTACAACATATATTCAATGAACGATTTACCGTTTGTACAATCTATCGTTTGTCGCGGTTGATTTAATCTTGAACTTGAACGGTAAACTTGCGCGATATGGTCCAACATATGGAGACAGAAGGGATGGGTGTCCAGCAGCATGGCCTGCACACGGCATACCGCACTTACCCTGATCCCAAGTAAAGCAGAAGTTGGCAGGGAAAGCAGGACTGAAAAATATTTTAGCAAAGCTCCGAATTGCGATGAGATTTCGCGACGTACGTAGGCTATGCCAAATGTCGAATGAGAAGTCCCGTTGGGAACGAAAACTTCAAGCCCGGCCTCGGTGCAATGCTGCCTTCATTTCCCGTAACTCCGCGCACGAAAGTTAAGATTCGAGTTCGAGCTTCAACTTGGAAGCAGCTGCAAATAACGCTTCTGATTAACTGTCGCTGCTCGACGCGGTGGTGGGGCAGGAGAGGATCCGCGGGACGAGGTTCTCGGCGATCGACGCGCTGAGTCCTTTGGATTATATATTGACTCAAGTGAGTTCCGTCTGTGCACAATGTGATCAACAACAAGAAGCAGCGATGAGTATGTATGTAGTGCTTACCAGAACCGGAGGCATCGTGATTCGTCGCGACGCCAGGAAATTCAGGAAGAGGGCGGGAGGGGGAGGACTGACCTGATGGTGAACGTTGAGGCATGAGATCCAGCGGCCACTCTTCCTCGGTGAATAATCTAGATCAGATACGGTCAGGCTGTAGCAGCCTTAGTGGAGAAATGGTAATGAGAATGAGGCAGACAAATGGTAAGTGGCGCGCTGGAGACAAAAGCTCGTGAAAGCGCCACGGGCGGCGGGGGAGACTGTTGGTTTTCGACGCGCAGCGCGATGGGATGCTGCAGGACAGCGTCAGCCAGCAACGTAGGATGGAGAGCGGCGGACCTGCGGATAGAAACCCCCAGGAGGTTATTCATGCGCGCGGTGCACCAAGCGGACTGAGGGCTCCCTCAGATGACTCGGGAGTGCGGGCAGTGGCGTTGATACTGATACCAAGTGGTATTGGCCAAGCGCGACGGCTCGGCAACGGCTCGGAGGTGCTGTGGGATCCGCACGACACAAACACCTTCGTGGGTAATGAAAGGGCTTCGCATGGCTATGGCGCCGCACGTCCTGGACTCCTGGACACGAATCTGCAGCCAGGTGTGTGTCTGAAGACGAAGATAATTAGGATAGAATGGCATGAGATAAATGCAGTTCTGCCAGTTGCAAACACACCTATCGTTACCCGGAGCCACTGGGTCCATCCGACATCCATCGTGGCGATTCTGCGAAGACAATTGAAGGAAGGAGGAAGGAGAGTTGTCCTCGAGGGCTGGAAAGAAGCCTATCGTCCGTAGTGGGTGTTACTGGGCGATGGCGTGCCGGAATTTTGGGCAAATGGGTGAAGAGCGACGGAACAGGGTGATGGTGGCAAGAGGAAAATGGTTGGCGCTCGCTTGGTCAGTTCGCTAAGCGCCCGAACACGATCACGTGCGGAGGCTAAGCACACGCGTCGCGAAATCGGTGATCCTTCTCATTGCCGGCAGCCGACCCAATCCCAGCGAGACACCACAGATTCTATCTGGGACACACGGTCGGGAGATCCCTAGCGCTCGTAGCAAGTTTCAACCAGAGAATTCATTAAAGTTTTGTTAAATCTGCAGTAAACAACGAGTACTATCGGCCGTATCCAGAATGCAACAAGGAACCTCCCATACCCATGGAGCCGATCACCCATCCCATGACAAACCTAAGAAACGGAGAAAGGTGTATAGAGTCAGGACACTGTGGCGGCGCCAGGCTCTTGAAGTTTGGCTTGCTTAGCCTAACCCAGGCGAGTCCAAGCTCTGTACCGAGTTTGGATGGTCGACTTCAACCACAAGTGACGGTACAAGTTGCCTCTCAACCTCGCCCTCCACGACTGAAGGACGCTACCATGATTATGATGTACCTCCTGGGGTTGAGTCGAATGGCCAAAGTCCCTTGAGGTGGTTGGACTTTCATGGCATGTTGAGGGAAATCCGACGTTTGGTGAGTAGTACCCGATTCAGTAATAAAATTACAGATCACAGAACAGAGATAAGGTAGATTTGCAGCGGCGTCAGTGGAGGAATGAGAGATGAGTAGACAATGCACCGCCTGCGGCGCATACAAAGAACAGGTGTGCTGTGTTCTCTGTTACTGCTGTATAGCATCGCCGTTCTGCGGTGTTCGGCCGTGCGCCGAGCAGTGCTCGGCATCTTAGCGCCCTTATTTTAGCCCGTCTTCTTAAAGGCGCGCGACAGCTGTATGGCGTGGGTGCTCTCTTTCTCTCTCCCACCACCTCTCCACCCACACTGATGGATTTCGACGACGAGAACCTTCCTGCCCCAGAGCTGAACGACCCCGCATTCACCTCGTACGCTCCTACCTGCCAAGACTGGATCCCGACTTACGACACATAGAAATGGCGGCAGTATTTTCCCGAATGCACAGCACTTCACCGTCGCCGGCGGAGTTTTCACCACAAATAATTATGTGGCACCGCCCACCCTTCCCCCTGGTCAGCATTCACCGTTCTCATCATCCTATGCATACTGACTTTTGACAGCCTTCCGCATGATTCCGTGGGGGGACATCGACCTTCAACAGAATTTGGGGGAATCGGGCGTTGTTGGCTACCGACGTGAACGCAACTGCGTTCGCCGCGTCTACTCTGCGAAAGTTGATGGTAGAACGTCGGATATGACAGTAGCCGTGTATCAGGGAGATGGGGCGGAGGAGGTGAGTAGATTCTTGTTTCTTGTGGAGCTATCTGACTCGTAGTACTAGGACTGGCGCCGGGATGTCGCAGCCTATGTGTCAATGCGGCGAGTCCCAGTAATGTCTCGCTGCCATTGGAGCTAACTTGTGTCGGGTTAGCCACCCAAACATCATCCAGATTTGTGCAGGAGCAACTTATGGGAATATCCATGCCACAGTATTTCACGGTGGTGCGGAATCACCCTTCACCCTGAGTTTGCTGAAAATTTAGAGCCTTCAGATCTGGTCCCATTCAAGCAATACATGGCTGGCCCGCTTCCACCGGTCGTGAGGGTATATTCGTATGCTGTCTTTGTATGTATCTCCATCCTCAATTGTCTCCCAACATTAACATTCAACCAGGCTAGTGAGTGGAAGGTGGGCAAGCTGTCCTGTCTCGGGTGTCCTGCTGACCCTCACTTCCAGGAGGCGCAGAATTATCTTCGTTCCGCAAATACACCATCCTACCTAC